AGTCAACTAAAGTTGTTCTAAATGTTAAAATTGACTACACATAAAATAGTTTTCTACAGTGCCAAAAATAAATTCTGACATGTTTTCTGTATGTGTGACCTTATTACCTCAAAATCTATTTTTTCTGACAGCATTCGAAGGTAGCGTTGTGGTTCTTACCACTTATGTCACTATTAACAACTTGTCAATTGTACATCCAAGTGGAGGCACACTGGTTAGGTGTTTGTTGAAAAATGTCATGTTGAAGTTATAGGTTTCACACACTTAAATGGCTCGTATTGTTAAACAGGTGTGTTATCTTATAGTTGTGAAAAGGTGGTCCTTGAGAAACCTTTTCCATTCCGGTGGCCGGCTAACACCTTGACAGATGGAAGGAATGCACCGACAGACACACAGCTGAAGAGTACAAGCCAGCTCACTATGCCGATATTCACACTCCACCGAGTATATTACATTTTTTTATTTTCATTAGCATAATAAGGCTTCTCAAAGCTCTTTTCTGACAGGGTACTGAGCGCTACCCGATTAAAACATCACGTTTTATAACAAGTAATATCCTCATGGGAGTCATGCATGTCTGAGCTCCTCAAACATGTGTTCAGAGTATACTTTCGAAATCATACTACATGGCCTTTTGACATCATACTGATATTAGAACTTCAATTAGAACAGGTAGTGACAATTATTTCGTACTTTGCTAAATTCCATGGTAGTGCAGGGTTAATCCTGGAAGGATTTGTATCCCCATTGCATGCTTAATTAAACAGAGTTGAGAACCCAACATATGCCTCATTGGGATGCCAGACTTTAGAATCCCAATCCAGCAACCGGCAAAATCTAAATGCTACAATTTCAGACCTATACCGGCTAACAAACCTACCAAGTCATATTTTTCACACCCTTCTTGGTCACATATCAACACAGCAGGCACTATTTGGCGTCCGTATGCTTAAACGGTTAGATTCACAAGTTAGCTTTTGTAACATAGTTGAATGATCTAACATACCTACCTGAAACAACAGTTCCATTTGATCCAAACTTTGATCTTTTCCTTTACCTAACCAAGTCATTTTAATCCCAAACCTAAGTGTTGTCAAGGGGTACCATTTGTGCTAAAATGTGACGCCAAGGGTACCTGACCAAACATATGCAAAGATCTGGTAATGAAAACAGGGTTGCCTAACAACATGGAGTCTTGTTTTATCCTGAGCTAACAAACAAGTGTGGTAGCATAATTAAGCTGTAACCACATTCAAGGCAATTAAACAGCAACCGTTTCCAAATTGAGGTGGGCCACTTTGTAATGCTTGGCTACCAGCTAAAAAGACCCCTATAAAGACCCACTCCTCCCCTGAATGGACATGCTGCTCATTGTAGTAAAAGGCTAGGAGTTGCTGTAAGCATTTACATTCCTCCCAGCATGCCAAAGCATGCAATATACATAATCAAAGAAAACATTTTTGGCAGCAGTGTTATGGCAAGTTAATTGGAAATTACATGAATTATTAATTGCTAGTGACTTGGAAATTACATGAATTATTAATTGCTAGTGACTTCAAATACTTGAATTCAAAGCTACCTCCCAACAACCTCAAACTGTTTCATTGTAATAATTTATTCTGCTCCAAAAGAGATGGGCAATGTTCCTACATCACAATAAACGAATGAAAGCTGAGCAAAGTGACACTTTAAAAACGGCTCTCTAGTCCACTTTTAAGCATGAACGATACTAACCAATCATGCTGAGAAAATGGAAATGTTGCATTAACTTGAGTGGTGGTGATGTCCAGGGACTTGGCTTGGCAACTGGAAGGTCACCAGTTCAAGTCCCGGCAAGACCAAGTGCCACCGAGGTGTCCCTGAGCAAGGCACCGTTCCCTACACTGCTCACCGGGCGCCGTTCATAATGGCAGCCCACTGCTCCTAACACTAGGATGGGTCAAATGCAGAGAAACAATTTTGTTGCATAGTACCTCTACTGTGTAATGACAAGAAAAATGTAAAAAAAAGAAAAGCATCTATTTATTTGTTTAATTCTATAATATTGGGCTTTTTTGCCGTCCGTCAGGAACTGAATTTCAAAATAACCGGAAACAGACGTAGGCGATACACACCCACTGAACTGATTACCCAAGATCCTCATCTATGGTTTAAGCTCGGTAATTGGATGTTTTAGCCGCAATGCACGTTGGGATATGGTGTTTACAGTATGCAATATGAAATCAGAAAATATTTAAAAAAGAAAAAATAATACTTTATTCCGAGTGTGCTTGCTTTTTTTCTTTTTGAAAGTTATCACATAAATGCATTATAATACACAGTCCGGCTGTATTAAATATTACACATCTGCCGTAGTTCTCTATTTATAGAGCCCTGAATAGAAGACTTCTGGACAAACTGGAAGAACTGCCACCGAAAACTGAATACGTGACGTGGATCATAAATATATCAGCAATTAAACAACATCTTCAATTTCTCTTCACACAATACGTCTCTTTGCAATATATATACTAATTTGGCTGACTTTTATATTTGATCCAATTGGTAGATAGGTAGAGGTGCACAGATGATAGACAGGGACTTGTAGTTTTTAAAGATATTACTGATTTTCTTTGAATGAAAGAGTGTACTTACTGAGTTGAGAGAATAGTCAGGGGTTTTGGGTGATGGGAGATATCTTATAAGATAGCATAAGAAATGTGCAGAATATGATAGTTTAATGGTTGAGGTATACACGCATATTGATAGATGTCTTGTAATGCACTGTTGAGGAACCTGCGACCCAAGTTTTTCATTCATTGCATAACTACACCGTAGTTGTGTATATGATATGTCAATACATCTTAGAACATCTTGAAATCTTGAAAGGGATGTGCAAAATAGCCATTATACAGTCTTTAATTAACTATTAGTAGAGAATAACGAGTGATGAATATGCTTTTTAGGGATCTGCAGATAAATGTTTAGTCTTCTCAAGCACCAACTATCAAATATCTCTCCTGATTGTTGGCACTTGACAATCACCTTTCCCTGAATTTTACTCAGGTATAACTAAAGTCTGATTTAAGGGTTGTTTATATTTCACATCATTAATCAGAATCTGCAAAGTAACTAAAATAAATGTAGTGGAGTAAAAATACCAGGTTAACCTCTAAATTGTAGTGGAGTATAATTACAAAGTACATGAGCTATCATGTGGGTATATTAATGCTGCCCATTATGGACACAAGCGATTTTCACCCATTTATTAATTATAGGTTTTAAATTTGATAACACCAATGTGTTTCTTATCCCCTAAACCTCCAGGGGTGTACACAGTTTAATACTGGCAACTTCTATTTATGGTAAAAACGAAAACGTCTTTTAAAACTACAATTCCCAGTAGAGACGTGCCATAGAACATGTTGTGTCCCGTTCGAGTCCAGTTTTGGATAGTCTGCCGTGGCTTCATTCCATTTCATAGAGCTGTTTGAAGCTTGGCGTAACCTTGGCACACTGCCACTCCAACATCCAATCACAGAGCTTGAAGATTAATCACAGGGTTTGTCAAGAAAAGGGACTGTAGTCCCAAACGATAGCTGAGGATTATGGGTAGTGTAGTGTCTTCGGCCATCCTAAACTCAGAAAAAACTGTTTCTCCGAATCAAAGGGAGAAAACACAAAAGCATTGTACACAATTCAAACCAATCAAGGTTGTGTAATTAACAAGGATAAACTGATGTTTTTAGATGATGAGTACTGCGGATTACTATGCAAACTTCGAGACCGGAAATACTGTTTTCACGCAAAGCTGTTGCCTGGCAACGCAATTCTGTTGATAGTTATTTCATATCGCATTAACACCATATCCCAACGTGCATTGCGGCTAAAACATCCAATGACCGAGCTTCAACCATAGCTGAGGATCTTGGGTAATCAGTTCAGTGGGTGTGTATCGCCTACGTCTGTTTCCGGTGACTTTATATTGAAATTCAGTTCCTGGCGGATGGCAGCAAAGCCCGATATTATAGAATTAAACAAATAAATAAAAACAAGGATAATTGTGTGTTATTTTTGAGTAAATAACAGTGTGNCACATTTCAGGAATCGAAATCTGAACTTTGGATAAAGCCAGGTTAAAAATTCTTGTTTCATTTTGTAGTCATATTAGTATCTAAGGCTTTTACAAAAGGCCCTTTTGTAAAAGCCTTAGATACTAATATGACTACAAAATGAAACAAGAATTTTTAACCTGGCTTTATCCAAAGTTCAGATTTCGATTCCTGAAATGTGTTAAAATATGCACATATTTGATGAGATAATGGCTAATTTGCATATTTAAACATGCTATTTCAGAAAACTTGTAATACAAAAGACAATTGCCTTATTGTAAGTAATTAACTGGAGAAATTTCTAGCTGATACCTTTAAGTTAAAAAAATTACCCTATTCACCTGGGGTGTCTCGCCTTAAGCTGACATATGCTTATTTTTGTGTAAAATGCTGAAGCCGCCATAACCCTTGTCAGATAACTGTAGTGTAGTAGGCCTATACAATTTCCCCTTTGAAATGTAGTGAAAAGTAGAAGTATCATGTAGCCTAACATAACATTTCAATATTCAAGTAAAGAGAAAGTACCGGAGACATGTCCAAAGGTTCTATTACTGCACGTTTTCACCATAAATCAAATGCAATTAAAACTAATAAAGTCTTTGATGTTTCATTATTGTTTGGATCAGGTGTAATACCGTTTTATATTTTACTGAGGTAGTCACATGCCAAATGTAAATAAAGCATCATAAAACCACAAGGAAGTTACATGTCAGCTAACAAAGTTGTCAGATAAACGAGCGGCATTTGAAGGCATCACCAGTCGTTCCGCTGCCAAGAGGAGAATCTCTTTTCTTCTTCTTCTCTTTTATCTACGCGTGGTAAATGATGCGACGCGCTGATTGGCTGCTGGCCGCTGACTTGTGGTCCATCCTGCCGGCTGCCTCTCAGACAGAGTCGGGCTCAGTCAGCGGCTCACTCCTCCCGGTGTTCCCCGGCCGACAACGCTGCTCCTCACACAATTACACACATTTGCAAACACACACGCACATACACTCATGAGTGCGCCTTGCTTCAGTGCGCACCCCCGGCTGCTGCATCCTGCCGACTTCACCTGAACGAGCAAAGAAAAACCTCTAAAACAATGCGTGCTTATTGCATTATGCGACACCGCAGGTTATTACAACTTTTGGGCTCTTTTAGGAGGTAACGGGGGAGGTGTAAGCGTGCATGTCATCACCATGGATTGCCTTTTTCTTCTGATATGGACTTTACCCATCCCGCTGGTCGGCTGCACCCCAGTCAAGCTCCTGTCCACCCTCTTGTCCTGGAATATTATCAAGGCATGTGGCATTTCAGTCAACACGAATTCACTCTTAAATAAATCAATCTAGTTTTGTAGCCAAACAAACACACATTTGTCTCTTTCAGCATGATTTATGTCTGTACAATTGATTGTGGTGAAAAGTAAGACAAGTGATTGTCATCCCAAAGAGTGCAACTCATGTTTCAACATCGTTTGGCTTTCTTTTTTTCTTCTCCCAGATCTTGCAACCTGTTGCTACCTGCTCCTTTATGATTATAATTTGTTTGCAGACGCTGCACATTTACTGCTCCCACACCTCCCATACCGTTACGGCCAGCTATTCTTCCAGCGACAACCACGGATTAAATCACGGTGAGTGTTTTTTCTTCTGACATCTCTGGATGTTTCTTCCATAAATAATCCGCATGGAGTGAAATATATAAAGCAGTGACAGGCTTAGTTATTGGGCCAGTAACATATCTTTGGATTAACCTGTTAGGAATATCAATTTTTCCTTGTTAAATTTGGGGTTTATTTGGTTATAAGTTTTTTGGGAACCCCTCTTAAGTCTGAAGAATGTGCTGACACTGCTGCAATAGCTGGAGTGCAGGGATTCCCCCATTGGCTGCTTTGACCCATATGATCTAAGGAAGCAAGTTGACATGACTTACTTTTCCTACTTTGATTTATCGGCAAAATAAGTAAGTTATTTCTCTGGTTGTAAATAAAGCATCCGTTTACTCTGAGCAGTACACTAGTGAATGTTTCAGATGAAGAAAAATGCAGAAAGTCCAACCTTTTGTCAAAATTACAACAATGAAAGGACAGTGAAAAAGCCTAAGCCTTTAAAATGACTGGCACCCCATGACATCAGAAAATTACAAATTCATAACCCCTGGTTCTGAACTGTTGACCTATATGCGACATGCATGGAAGTATGATGTTGTTGGAGTTATAGCTTCTGTCAAAAGCCATCTGTGATCCATAAGTGCTCTGAGCAACAGCTGAGCGTTGAACCCTTTCACTCCACACAAGCGCTGTAATTTCAACGCCTGGCTTTGATTTCTATATTGACAGTTCTGTATAGATGTTGGTCATGCTGTCATGTTTCTGCATTTCTTGATAAAAGTGACTAAATGTGACCCCATGTGTTTAGATCGCATATTTGATGTGCTTTAAAACCACATTTATCAACTGTCAAAAGTAATTGGAAGCAACTTTCACTTTTTCCCCTGACACGTATAAGCATGCATGGCTTAATGCAAATGGTCTCTTGGCCTAATATATTCTAGGCAGAAGATTTATAAGGAGATGAATCAGGATATATGCCATTAAACACAAATGACTCCCAATTGAACCCCTGGAGCAGAATCTTATTTTACTGCTATCATGTGACTTCCTCTCCATCCCTCTTTTCCTCAGACTACGTATTTGTAACCCCTGTTGAGGTGGACTCTGATGGAGGATACCTGACCCACGATCTGACCAGGCGAAGCCATCGCAGCAAGCGGTCCCTCTCTTCTTCTCTGCACTATCGGCTCTCAGCCTTTGGGCAGGACATGTACCTGGACCTGCAACCTTCTACTGTTGTCGGCCCGGGGTTCACAGTGCAGACTCTGGGCTCGAACGGCATTGCCACGGTGATGGATGATGTAGGGTTTCACAACTGCTTCTATCAGGGATTCATCCGTAACCTGTCGGCCTCCTCGGCAGCCATATCTACGTGCTCTGGACTGGTAAGTGACACACTATACTGATCACATTGAAACACTATCTGTCTCAAATGGGGTATGCTGAAGTTGTGGTTTTCACATAACTTGAGAGATCAGTAGCAGAAGCCCAAACATTATTATCCCCAAGAGAAATTGCACTCAAGTTGTCTGCTTACCAAACTATGTTAAGTCAACCAACAAAGGAATTTACAACTTCCGTGTCCGTCACTTCATGCCATTGGGCCCAAAAAAACATTTTCCTATTGACATACTTTGGGAATGAAAAGCCAGTAAATCAGTGTTTGATTTGTTTTTTTATGTTAAAAACCTGAAAAGCCTTCTTTTGCGTCAATAGTTCCCAACAGTTTATATTTTTCACATTTTTCAACATCGGCATATAGGGTATCTGTGCTGCATTCCGGTGGTATTGGAATATTCATAAATTCATGTGAAAAACCTTTCAAGTTGGAAAAACTATATATATATAACAAATTCCCAGCTCGGGAAACAGGACCATGCAAGGAGCATGCAAATGTATTATTAGCTGTGGCGGAGGTCTGTTGCCTCTGAATGTCATTCTTTTTTTTCCTGATATTTTGAGCTCGTATTGGCTTTGTGTCATTGTTTTATCATAGCCAGTCAAACCTTTTTTTCACCCAACAGAAAGTGTCTCCTGTTCCAGATATTTAATTTACCGCATATCCCTTGGGCATTTGTGAGGCAATGGCACATCTCTCATAACAAGTCTTTTAAATTCAGACATTGCTATCAGTCAGGGATCAAATTGTGTAGTGTGAACTTGACATAACTACTTTGTCCTTGAAGCATTGTAATCATTTGTTTGGAATTGATGATATGGTTATATTCTTAACCGGATTTCATGGTTTCTACGTGGTCTGAGAAACATTTCCAAACCAGTATTTCAAACATGCATAGGGGAATGTTTTTCATTTTCTGATAGTTAAGAGAACATTTGAAAAAAAAGATTTTGTGCTGCACTCCTACCTCAAGCTTCATGACTGCCATACAATACTTCTGTCCTTCAATGACCTGACTGTTTTGACATGTCAGTGTCTGCACAATGCAGACCTTGGCAATATGGATGAACTGTAACATGAAATCATTACCCATGAGTTTAAGCATCAGTTTCTTCTTGTGCTATGGGAACCACTTCTCTGAATGTTGGGAGGAGTGGAATAAAGAGAATGGAAGCATGAAGGGATGAGAGCTGGCAAGGAGAAAAATCATACACGACAGCCCAGCACATAAAAAAGGGCCATTATTCAGTTTCAGGGTTTTTTGCAGTGCCAGCACGCAATATAAATAAACCCGTAGATCACTGAGGGCAGTCTTAGGCAAACAAGAACAACTGATTCTCTCACCATATGTAATTCCTGCGGGAGCTCACTTGTCACCATGCGTTTATTGGAGGTGACAGGACAAGTGTCTTCATCCCATTTTCCATGTCAGAGCTTTTGTTTATGTATCTATACTAAGTTTTGGTCACTACTATTTCCAGTTTTCTTACTCATACACAGTGGACCAGTGGGTTTGGTGACTATTAGAAAAATAACTCAACATTTACTACAACAAAAGACCAAGCGGCAACCTGTGTGCCTGAAAGGTGAAGCCAATGTGGAATTGCCTTAAGCCTGAATTATTTCTAATAGCCAACAGGGTGTGACTAGTGGTTGCAAAGTAAGTCGAATTGTATAGAAGTCTATGAGAAAAGGATTCTACTTCTTACTTGATTATCTCACCAGACATTTTCCTAATGAGTTGATGATCAGAAATGCTCGTTTAATCTCTTCTTCAATATAGTATGGTGTTCATTTAGTAAATGATGCCCCCATTCATGTGAACATCGATGGTAAACCAAGGTATGCAGTAGGGCGTGGCTACCGTATGGTTTATTGGTCACAACCACATGATGTTGTCCAGTCTGGACATATTTTTATCTTAAAACTTGGACCTAATGTTGTAGTTCGGGAAAGTTAAATGTAAAATTTTGTTCGCCAAAAAAATGACTTTGTCTTCGTTTGGTTCTCTTTTGCTTCACTGTTTTGTGTCACTTCTGGTTCCTAAAAACCAAGATGCTGCAGGCCAAATTGCCGAACTCGAAACTTGAAAACAGTAGTCATTTAACCAATGGGTGAAGACATGGTGACTAGTTCCACTCCTTATAGTCTATGGCACAAACACAAGATTGATGTTAGGGCTCTTTTTCTTGGACTTGAATTAATTAAAATATCCCAAAAAGTTTTACGAAGTTGACTTAAATACTCCATGTCGGCTCTATCATCATCCGACATGGAGTATCGTTCCATTGTTACGCTGATGACACCCAACTGTACCTCAGGATCAACCCTACCTCCTTTGCAGCCCTGCCTTCACCCACACTCACTGCCTGCCTGAAGGAGATACAGGAGTGGATGAAGCAAAACTTCCTGAAACTCAACAGCTCCAAGACCGAAGCCATTCTAGTCAGCACCCCACACCAGGTTCGGTCATCCACCATCACCACCATCACCTTCTCCGGCCAGGACATTACCTTCTCTTCAACAGTTACCAACCTGGGTGTGATGATGGACGCCTATCTGACCTTTGAGGCTCACATTAAACAGCTGTGCAAGAACTCCTTTTATCACCTCAGGAACATCGCCAAACTCTGCCCCACACTCACTCTGTCCGACGCCGAAAAGCTAGTACACGCCTTTGTCTCCTCCAGGCTGGACTACTGCAATGCATTCCTCATCGGGATCCCTAACAAAAGCATCCAGAGGCTCCAATACATTCAGAACAGCGCTGCTAGGATCCTGATGAAGGTGCGCAAATACGATCACATCACCCCCATGCTTAAAGCACTACACTGGCTCCCCGTGGAACTGAGGATGGAATTCAAGGTGTGTCCATGGAACTGCCCTTCCCTACCTCAAGGAACTCCTCACCCCGCATACCTCCTTGCGGACCACCCGCTCCAGCAACTCCAACCTCCTCAAACCCCCCAGGACTAAGCTCCGTACTATGGGAGACCGGGCCTTCTGCTCGGCTGCCCCCAGTCTGTGGAATGCTCTCCCCGACCACATGAGAGCACCATAGACAGTGGAGGCCTTTAAAAAAGGCCTCAAAACTCACCTGTTCAATAGAGCCTTTCCCTAGACCTCTTATTTATTTACTACCCCCCTTTTATTTATTTTATTTGTATTGTTTGTTTTTATTGCTTTTTATTAATTTTACCGTGTTGTGTAATGTTTTTATACTGTTCATGCTCACTGCTTGTAGCACTTCGGGATTTGAAGTCAAATATGAAGTGCTTTATAAATTAAACCCATTATTATTATTATTATTATTATTCAATTCTGAACAAATCCAAAACAGAGAATTAATGATATCACTGATGCTGCTACTGTTATGAACTTTGGTTGATTTGTGTCTTTCCACCATAAGGACTGAGTAATTACAGGATCTTCTGCTTTCATTTGTGGTTTATGAGGTGCCCGGCCCACCAGCACACATGCATTCCTTGACACATCCACCAGCCTGGACCAGATGGACACACTACGCCTCCATAAAAGCCATACCTCCATTCATCATCCAGCCTTCATCGCTCCTCTTGCCTCCTTCTGCGCTTGCCCTGCCCATTTGTCCCCTGTTTGCCCTGCCTCAACATCTCCTCTTGTTTGCAGCAATTAAAGCCAGGGTGAAGTTTGAGCCGCCTGCCTGGCACTGCTAATCTTCACATTGTCCCTTTCATTAGGCTAGCTCCCATTCACAATAAAACACCATTGACCCATCCTCTTAAAAGCTCTGCAAGAACACAATGATTGGGTCGTGATTGCATTTGAATGGGCTGCAACAAACACTTTGATCTGATTTTCACTCCTCGCAAGCCTTTGACTACTTTTTTTTCCTTCTCTTCCCAAGTGCAACCTTGGGGCCATCGTTGTTAGGATGTCCGCTCGGCCCGTTGTTGGGATGTCCTCTCAGCCTGTTGAATAGACTCATGCTGTTATATCTCTCTCTAGGGAACACTGTTAGAAAAATAAAACGCTTAAAGTGAGCCAACATGACAAGTGCATCGAAAGGGAACTCTAGGCCTGTCTCGCTTCTCTCTTTTGGGCATCACTGTGTTCGTTTGTTCGACTGGTGTAAGGCTTAGAACATTGAAAGCAGTTGACCCTTGCTTTTCATCTAGGCCTTCACCAAGAATATTTGGATTAAGTACACATGGCCTTCCCGATGCAACGACAGGCTCAAGAAAAAGATTAAGGTGGGATTAAAAGCAATGGTAAAGAAGAAGACGTCAGAAGAAAAAAAGGAAGATGACGGGGAAATCCAGGGAAACAAGAGAAAGACAGTGTTGTGGAAGAATAATGTGAATTCATTGTCTGGGGTTAAAGCTCCCAGGGAGGATGGATGGTCTCTTTATAGAGAGTTGGAAAGATGGACTCTTTTTATATCAAAGGGATTTGGAGGGGAAACGAAGTCCTCGTACTTCATGTCATTGTCTCCTTTCAACAGAGGAAAGAGGAGAAAGGGGAAAAGAAAGTGTTTGGAATACGATTTTTGGACTTGACCCTGCTTAATAATACCAGCAGAGGTGTCAGCACCAGCTTCACAACTTAATTTAAAATGCACCCTGGCCCAGGCCAAGCAGATGGAAGCCGGATTCATCTGTTTATATGAAGACCAGGGCGAGATGGTATTAAGAGCAGGGTCGAATGGATCACTGGTCAAAGACGGATTTATACTGTAAATCCCCATTAATTAAACGTGGTGTTATTTGTTGCTTTTTAATTACTCTCTCTGTGTCCTTATCGAGCATCACGCTCCAGTGAAATGAAGTTGTCCGACTCTTTTGCACGAGAGATGAAAGGATGTTGTTCAGATGTAATGCTCTCTGATTTGAAAGAGAAGTGGAGAGGGGGGAGGCTCCTCTCTCTTTCTTCTTTCAAGGGTTTCTCATCTGACGTCGCTTTTCTGGTTGACCCCAATCCTCTCTGCTCGTGTATATGTGGGTGGTT